TGAATATCAGCTTTTCATCAATCAGATCATCAAATCGATAAAATAAATTGTTAATATGAGATTTGCACACCTTCGTCGGTTATTACTGCAAATTTTCCAAATATTAAAAATTTGAAAATATTGTAATTATTAAAGAGTTTCTTTCATTCTCCAGCGAAGAGGGCCAAAGCCGACTCCTTCGATATTTTGCGATCACTGCCACTGGAAATATGGAACTTGCCGGCTAGTCCTATTGATCAAACTTCTGCGCATCTCTCTTCCATAATAGGAATTTATATAAAGATATTTTTCATTTTTCATTCACCATTTTATACTTATCAACGAAAGATGAGGGCTATGTTCATTTTGTCACAACGTTTGCAGCGCTTAGAAGGAAGCATCATAGGCCCCACAACGTGTATATACTCTTGATGAGCATGAAATTCTAAATCAATTTAAGTATGTCCGCCTGTCCGCCAAATTAATGTCTCTTGTAAACATTCTCCTGGCCGCAAAAATGAAGCTATCGACTTCAATTTGAGCGGAAACATTGAAAGTGCTTGCACACAGATTCGTATTGAAAATGTTCAAATGTTCAAAATTTTCGAAGGGTACGCCTATAGTAGCATGTAAGGTAAGGATAAGGAATAAAAAATTGACTTTTATTCCTAATTCATAAACCATAACACCTTTAAACGCATGCTCTACGGGCGATACTGCAGAACTAGCACAAAAATGTAAAAAATGTCCACGCCTATCCAATGTTATGCCGGATCAAAATTTCATGCATTTTCAATATGTTGACAAGGCGCAGAAACAAGCTTAAAACCACTTGGTCAGTTTCAAATTTGGAATGTACCGAAAGCATGTCCATCTGCCTGTCTTGAAATGTCAGAGACCCCACAAGGTATAAATACTCTTGCCCAGCATCAGATTCTAAATCAATTTTCTATCCATTTGTCCGTTTGTCCATCTGCGTTTCTGTCCGTCTCTATAACTTCTGTTTTAAACATTCCCCTGCTGGGAAAAATGAAGCTATCGACTTCAAATTTGATAGAAACATTGGAAATTTTTCGGTGGAACGGCACGCTCCCAGCACCATGTAAACTGAGAGCTCCACTGCTTCTCAAAAAGAATAAAAAATTGGGGTTTTGGGCATTACTCATAAACTATAGCAGAAATTTTGAAAGCATATTCTGTGAGTGATGCTGGAACAACTATATAAAAATGCAAAAAAATGACCACGCCTACCCAATATTACAGTGTATCGAAAATTAATTTTTTTTTTTCGACACGGCGCAGAAACAAGCTTCAAAACCCCCATTAAGTATATAAATTCTTGATCATTTTGAAATTTTGAATGCACCAAAACATGCCCGTCTCTTCGTCTGTCCATCCGTCTGCCTGCGTAAATGTGCAGTATTTGTCCGTATCGGCCACAAATTTGCAAAAGATTTTGCAAATGACTTAAACTTTTCTAAGGGCACACCTACAACACTCGCAGGCCTACGCGACAAAAACTTCTATTATGAAAATTGAAACAATCAACCGCGTCCACTCCATATTATAGAGCATGAAAGTTTAGCTTTTTTTACCCTGTTTATGGACTTTTTTAGGCTAATGATGATAGGTCCGAAAAATTCGGTCACGATCGAATATAATTTTCTTATTATAAAGTGTGTTCATCCATCCTATCACATATTTTGATATCATTTGCATTTGTTTACCTATTTGCGATACAATTTAACGATCTCACGTTTTGTTCAATTACCAGCCAATTTGTAACCATTTAGTCCGTTATGTTTCCTATGTGACCCTAAAGCGTGTCATTTATAAATCATATTAATTTCTTGCTTTCTTTTCCCCTTTGCTTTTTCTATGCAAACATTTGCATGTGTTTATATCTTGATTTTTTTTCGAACCGTGTCAACATGCAAAGCAAATTGACTATGCGTCCATGCTATTAAGCGAATGTTAATGTTAAGTTGCAAATTTTCACAACAACACTTAATTACAACTGTTCGTGTAAACATAGTTTAAAAACGATAAAATAAAAAGCAACCGATTACATGCAGTTTAGGCCGAATCTTTAGCACCCAACGAGCATGTAATAGCATCGATGGAGATATGATTGGGGTCGTGGGCCAGTGAAGTCTTCCGAAGCAAGCAAACTGAACAAGAACATAAAGAAAAATCAAATTTCGTAATGTCTATCCATCGATCCAGAGTCATCAATCTATAGATATCAATCTGTAGCCGCCAATCTACCTTCACTATACAAATCGATTCGAAGTTAGGTAAAAATATTTGCCAAAGTCAAATGAAGTTTTTATGAAAAATTGCTTTGCATTTTACTTTGTCTTAAAAAATTATGTACACATTTAACGATTATGGAATTTTACGATATTAAAAGCTCATCCGCAAGGTTTTTCTAACTGTTCCGTTTAGTTTTTTTCCCGCTTTTATTTTACAACATATCCGTTGGAAAAGCACTACCTCACTGATGGACTACACCTGAAAACCATTAAGTCAACTGCGTACAGTTTACGCTTTATTCTCTTTCAACAACAAGAACTAACAATTGTTGGTTAAAGATCTTCGTCATTTTTTTTCTCTGCAGACGAATCAATTCGTTGTTGGTTACTATTTTCATAACATTTATGATAGCAGTTGCACTTGCAGGCCGAAATGTTGGGGTACTCAGCATTTTACCCAAACTGGCTGGTGGACGGAGGGACAAACATGTTTGCATAAACTTGTAATCTGAACTTCATTTATAACAGAAAATCTCCGACGCATTTTTATGTTTATTGTAAACGTCTAAGTAAAATTAATATACTGATGTCTTTCGGTAGTGGGCAGTAAAATCCAGTAACCGTGATATCCTTTTTTGAAAGGATTTAGTTACACTTTATCCGTTCATCGCGCTTCATCATCTAGCAGTTTTGCCTCAATATGTGGCTAACGAGAAGTGCAACCTATTTGTCGGTTACCTTAATGGCTTCACTTTATATAACGGAAAGTGAAACTCAAGCGTTTAATAGCTCACTAGCGATCGAAATTGCCAAACATCTTAACAAAGCACATAAATTTTCCAATTTTGTTTTTTTTCTTTCCGAAAATTTACTCAACGATACGGAAATTATGGATGACTTTCTTCCGCAATTTTGGAAAAAGTTCCCGAGAACGCCTTATGTAACAGTTACGCGGCAACATTATCGTATGCAAGGTTTTCTCGACAAAAGATCATTAATCTATATCTTTGTTACGGGCTACGACGACCCGATATTACCACTGGCAGCACAGAATTTAAGACGTATACGCTATTATCCCATTATTTTCGTTTTTTTGCCTCGAGGAATCTACGATAAACCGTTCACTGCAGGCAGCGAAGTTTATGTAAATTTCACTGATAATTTAGTGAACATCTTCGAATGGATTTGGAAGAGGCAATTTTCGCGAACCTTTTTACTAAGCGTAGACAATAACATCTATATACATGATCTATTCCCAGTACCTACAATTGTGAACAAAACCGATAATTGGTCTGTAAAGGACTTATTCGTCAAAATTGGTAATAATTTTAAGGGTCACATTATAAAGACACCAATATGCTATGATTTGCCGCGCGTCTTTCGCCTACCCAGCAATGAACTAAGCGGAGTTTCCGGCAAACTTTTCAAGGCATTCGTTCGTTTCATCAACGCCTCATTAATAGACGACGCAACATGTTATTCGATTAAAGAACCGTATAATTTAACAAAAATTCTGCAAGATGTCTCTGAAGGTCGCTTACAAATCAGCGTACACTCGTATACTGAAATGTTAAACTCACCAGCTGGCAGCAGTTATCCTATCGGTATTAATGATTTTTGCTTCATAGTGCCTTTTCGTCGTCGTTCGCCCGAGCACTTGTTCCTGCAGAGGACCCTGCAAAACTCAACGTGGTTGTTTGTAGTGTTCGCCATCTTCTACGTAACATTTGCCATTTGGTGGCTTACCACGGAAGAGAGACGCGATTTCTCTTTAGCCTTCCTACAGTCCATATCATCATTTCTCTATGCACCGCCTCTTCAAATTCTATACCTGCATATAAAATATACGCGTTTCTTTTCGATATTATTATTTATTTTAGGATTTTGTCTTACTAATCTGTTTCAATCGAAAATGTCCAGCTATCTGACCGCTTCGTTGCCCGATAGTCAAATAAATACAGTGGCAGATCTATTGGCAACCGATTTAAAAATCATTGTAATGGAACATGAACTTCCCATCTTAAAAGCTATTGGCTATGACGACGCATTTCTGAAACGTTTCGTTCCAGTTAAGAAAAACTTTATGGACTCGCACCGAGATCGTTTAAACGCCACATACGCGTATAGTTCACAAACAGATCGTTGGAATTTCGTGAAGATTCAACAACTCCAGCTAAAGTATCCGGTGTTTCATCTCAGTGAAATATGCATTGGACCTTATTATCTAGTATATCCAATACGAGAAGATTCTGTTTTCTACAAACCCTTAAAATATTTCATTTTATATGCTCATCAATACGGTTTGCAAACTCACTGGAATCGTGAAGCGTTTTCTGAAGCTTTAGCCTTAAAATACGTCAGCATGTTGGATGTAAATGAAGAAATCAAGCCCTTATCTATGAACTTTTTCCGATCTATTTGGTTGATTTGGGGCATTGGCATTACATTAAGCGGTGCGGCATTTATAGTCGAGATGAGGGAAACCGTATTCGAGCGGATTAATGCAAGGGCCGGCAACGAATGGCAGCGATATGTCGAATAAAAACACTTTACCATGGAAAATGTAAATTTTTTTCAAAGTAACTTAAAATTTTATTTTATTGCAATAAAAAAAATTAAAAAAACTTTTTCAAGAACTTTTTCATGCAAATTAAAGCAAGTACAAGTGTCAGGCTTTTGCAGATGTACACAACACCCAGAACTCTCGAGTCCTCTGAAGAGTTCCTTTAACCGATTTAAAATAATTTTCTGAATCGATTTAAGCGAAAAAGTCCTTTTGAGACTTGTCCGTGTACAGGTCCATCTATCGATCAAATTTGATGCTTGAGATATTTTAGACTAAGAACGAACATTGCCAATAAATGATTGATCGAAACTGTTGCTTTTCACTTGTGGTACAAGGGTATAATATATTAAGTGTGCAGACATGCAGAAGGACTTTTGATAAACCCATCGTTTATTATACCGATCGATTCAGAAAATGATTCTAAGCTTGTCTATCTATCTGTCAGCCTTTCCTCAACGAACAGTCCACAATTTTTGAGTTATTTTGATGAAATTTACCGCACTGATGTCTTTTGGCCTAAGAACGAATTCCATTGAAAATGGTTCGGATCGAACACTTTTCATATAATGTCTTATTTTGGAAAATTGTTGATATAACGATAACTGCAATGTGACGTAGGCTATGTAACGGTGGACCTTGCCCCGCTATAGTGTTTTTACTTGTTTCTTGTATGAAAAAAATGCCCCGTTTTTAATATCTCTGGACAAACATTTATGAAAAATAGTATTTTGACAATGCTTAACATTGTAATCTTATGACAGCATTTCTTGCACACTCTCCCATTTAATCATCTTTACATAATGTAGCGCATCAAAATTTAACATGTGAATTGATTCAAAAAAATAGTTCAACACACAAGTTCGCTTTACATCAATTTGGATCTTGTTTAACTTAATATCAAGCACCCTTTCGGTCACGAGGCGCAAGTCCTTGGAAGATAATAAAAATTAATTTTTCATATTTAATATCTTCATATTACGAATTTGGATCAGACAAAATCGTGCATAGTATTCGATTGTCGGCTTTTATTAATTGTTACGAAATACGATTTCACTCAAAGGAATGTAAAAAATTTTCTTTCTTGTCTCTTTACAATCAAAATTTAAAATCATTATCGTCTGCTTCATTTTTCCATTATTTTTCTCGGTTGCTTTCCTATCTTTTTTCTCTAGATCAGATTTCCTTCAAAGATTTCAATAAATTTTGATTTTAAATTTAATTTTATATTTTTTAAAGAACTCTTTAAAAATTCATTTCAGCACTTTCAGCAAAGCCTTTAACTATTAATGTTTAGTCGAATAAGCGAGAACATGTCCTGCTGTCCTCGTTGAAAACATTGTAATGTGTTGACCAGAATGCCAGTAAATACCAACTATGATTAACATCAAACAGTAATTAAAATAATTTGTAGTTAAAATAAACTGCAATTAAAACAACTAAGAAAATTATATTCGATTGTGGCCGAATCTTTTACACCCATTGTCGTTATCCTAAAAAAGCTAAAAAAAAGTTAAAAGAACTAACTTCAGAACTTTTCATGCTCTATAATAGGAAGTGGGTGCGGCTGATTTTTCTGAATATTACCACAAATCCTACACAGTTGCGTAAATAGATAGATGGACAGACGAACACACGGACATGTTTTGGGTGCATCCTAAGTTTGAAACTGTCCATGGCATTATATACACTCCTTTTTTTTCGAAGCTTGCTTCGGCGTCTTATAAAGGTATTTAAATTTTGATATACCCAATGTTAGGGTAGGCGTGGCCAATTTTTTCCATTTTTGTACAGTTGTCAAATTTTCTCTGCTATAGTTTACGAGTGACGAGTAATAGAACAATTTTTTTCATTCTTTTGGAAAAAAAAAACAGAAATGTACTCAGTTTACGTCATGCTGTGAGCGTGCTCCTCGACCAATTTGGCCCATTTTCAATAGCAATGTGTGTGTGCAAGAACTTTCAATATTTGCACCACATTTGAAGCCGATATCTTCATTTTTGCGGCCAGGAGCATGTTTATAACAAGTGGATAGACACACAGGCGGGCAAACGGACAGACGTGCATAAAACTTAAATCGGTTTAGAGTTTGATGCTGATCAAATTTTAATTCAGACTCTGTGGTTTGTCTGATGCTTTCTTCTTCTTCTCCGTTGCAAACGTTTCGTCAAAATGACTTTACCTCTCATCCTTCGTTGATGGGTATGAAAAAGTATAATACCCGCTGCGTAATTGTAAGAACTAAGTACACAGCAATTGTATAAACTTCATGTATGAACTTAAGATTTTTATATAAATTGCAGGCTTTAAAATCGGAGAACAGGCGAAGAGGCGCCTGGACAGAGCATGATAAAATGACATTGGTCTGATCATACATGCATATAAATAAATAGATATTTATATCTAAGATAAAAGTGAAGTCGGTTTATCATATATATACATGCGCGTATGTGTTTGTATGTAGCAATAAGTATCCTTGTATTCTTTAATTGTGAATACAAAAATTGCAAAATATTGTTTGGATCGCGTCGATTATTTTTGTCGAATTTTCCACATGGTCTGTATTATTCCAAGTCAAGTGTTTTTGTTGCTTGTCGTTTTTGCAAACTCAATCTATGCCAATCAATGACAGATATTTATGCTTTCTATGCCAGCTCTTACCATCGTGAAAAATCCAGTAACAGACAAAAAGCGGACGAACATTATTGCGTTGACTGACAATCTTCGGTGATGAAAAGTACATATAGCTTTTAGGATCTCTGAAGCATGTTCTGGAATATTATAAAAATGTAGAAAAGAAAAAATTTAGCAAAGGATTAACCTCCCATTAGAAAACTTTTATGCAAAGAGCGCCAAACTTTCTTCTTGATGAACCCAAAGTTCAATGATAAAAAACTGCTGTACTTACTTAGCTTTCTTGCGTGCATTCGTGCACGTCAACTAAGAGTTTTGTTTTTGAAATTTCGGAACTTTGTTTGCTGGCGTGATACTTTGAGAATTTCTTCAATAAACGAGGAGATGTGTACGCACACAAACACCCATTACAATATATGAATTTAGTATGTACTATTGTGATCCATAAGTAAGGTTAGAATCCCTTTATGAAGTTGAAAAACATTTTGTCATTCTTTCAATTCAATTTTGTCGACTTCATCGCGTTCATAACGTCCAAATAATATTCCTCGAATCTGGCGGAGAAAAGATACGTAATGCAGCAAACTGTCATCCTTGATCTTGACGTTGGATTCTCGAAAATAAGATGTTTGCTCGATTGGTCGTTTGTTATCGGCTCATAGATCTATGTCGTATCTTTAATAATTGTTCGGTTCGTGGCTTCATGATGGTCATGACGATCCTCATTTCACAGATATGTTATAAAAATTAAAAAACCTTTTCATGATGTGTTTACTAAAACGCGTGTAATCCTGCAGCAATTGAGTTATTGCCATAAAGTTGCACATAAGTGCTAAAGACGTTACTATCAACCCATAAAAAAAAAAAAAAGAAATGTATTTGTATTTATATTCTTTGGTGCCTCTACAATGTGACAAGAATTCCGCGCCGACATTCACGTACACTCTACCATTATTTAGCGATCAGGATTTCATATTAAGGCTTAAATGAAAGCTTCTTTCCACGCACATAATACAAATAGTGTGCGTGTGTGTGTGTGTGTGTGTGTGTGTGTGTGTGCACGTGTTTAATGAACCGAATATCGAACTAAGTGCACTGTGATTTTCTTATAGTGGCGCATAAATAAAAATCAACTATCCAATCAGATGAACAGATAAAATAGCCATCATATGTGTACCTATTAATTATCTAAACGAGATGTTCGCGTAAAATGAAAAATTCCCTGCATAAGGACAACCAAATAAATTTGAGAAGCCACAAGAGATTTGGTGCGTTAAGCAGTCATCATGTCCGTTTCGGATTTTCAAACTTATATTTTGCCAGCGACTGCAAATAATACGGTTTTCATAAATACTGCGTTCTTTAGAGACTTGCCGCGAGCATTTTTCTATCGGGATAAAAATGGATTTCAAGAGTTAACTGGGACGCATTGTAAAGTTGCCACAGAATTTGCAATCCATCAAAAGTACAAATTCCGTGTAGAGAATATGGCCAATTTTAGTATCGCAGCAATGCATCAACTCATCGAAGATGGTCATTTCAACTGGTCAATGCGTCCGAACACTTATGGAGATTCATCAGCAAATATCGTCTACAGTTATCCGCTTGAGCGTTCACGATATTGTGTTATGGTGCCTACAAGACCGACACTTGCTCGCTTCTGGTATGTAGTTTGGCCTTTCGATCGTTATATTTGGCTTTTAATAATTTTGGCTATCATTTACGTGGCCGCGTTAATGACTATCCAGAAACATCCCACTGTCTCATTTAGCAGGAATTTGCTGTATAGTTTTGCTTTACTACACGACAGCCCTAATGCGAATATTAAGAAAAATAACCGATGTGCTCGTGTACAAATATTTTTCCTGCTCATTTTTGGATTGGGTTTCATATTATCCGTCTACTATATCACATTTTTGGCATCTTATTTCATGTATCCCATATCTCAGCCCCATATCGACAGTCTTGATGCAATTATTGATGCTCGAATCGATGTTATAACACCGCCGAGGACTTATGAAATTCTACGTAGCGATAAATTTTCCAATTTTCAAGAATTTGAAAAAGTTCTAAAAATTTCAGACATAAAAAGTTTCATCGCAATGATACACAGCCATCATGCCTACATACTCACGCAAGGAGATTGGAATTTAATCGATCGAATGCAAACTCATCTTATTCTGCGGAAATTTGAATATTCGAAAATGTGCTTTGGCGATTTTTACACTGCCCTCCCATTAAAAATCGATTCTCCATTTACGAAAAGTCTTAATGACTATTTATTAAGAATAAAAGAATCCGGGCTTTGGTTACATTGGGAGGACGAATCATTTTATGTAGCCCTTAAAGCCAAATTAGTTAAATTGTTAGTCGATGGTTATCCCGCAGAGCCGTTAGATATGCAATTCTTTTTAATTGCATGGATTGTACTCGTCGGTGGATGGACGTTGAGCGCATTGTTCTTCATCGCCGAAATTCTATTCATTAAATACTCAAAAAAATTACATTAAATATTTAGCTTGTTAAAAGCTCGCTGTAAATCCATTCTCAAAACGATTCGTACTTGGACGAATAGACGAGGTTTCATTACAACATATCTCTCTCTTTCTCTCTCTCTCTCTCTCTCTCTCTCTCTCTCTCTCTCTCTCTCTCTTTCTCTCGTTGCGAATACATCCATGCAAACTGAATATATCCTGTACCGCAAGTAGCGCAAGCCTACTAATGAGGAGAATCTATACAAAACAACCTAATGGAAGAGAAATATTCTTATAGTAATACTCAGTACTTTAACATTTAAGATATTATGATAATGTAATAAAGATGCTTGTTGTCCTTTCTCATGACAAATTTGCTTTCTGCTTGATAGGTTTATATATTAAGAGGAAATGAAACGCTCTTGATATGTAGCGATTTATATCAAATTGTATGAAATACATCTTCATCAGATGTTGATTAAAATATGATGTCAACGCACAAATGGTTTTGATAGCGAAAACTAATAAAAGCCTTCAATGGCAATATAAAATGTCAATATAGTTGCTCTTAAGATAGATAAAAATGACATTTCTACACTTTCCCTTAGGGACGATATTAGTCCGAAAAAGAACATAAGCTTGACAATCCTTTGTTGAGGGAACGCAAGTAAAACTAAAAATATGTCATTCAATTCGTTACCACAATTGAAAAACATTCGTCAGAAACGCTTAACAGTTTGACTGTGTTAGTGCTGTTGCTTTATTGATAGGACAAACTCGAAAGGTAAAGCAATTGAGTAATTTTTGTAAACATGTTTAGTCGTTCGCGTTGAAAATGTTGACAGTGCGAACGTGGCTCAAGATATGTTCGCATAATTGCTGGGAAATACAAGCAAGTGATATGTTAAATTCGTGCTTCCACACCTCCATTGTCTGCAGATAAAATTTTAATGTAATTCATTATTCAAATATATGCGAGTCACGAGTTTTTTCAATTTTTCCCAAAGCATCGGCGATTGTAGGCGGAATATTAATTCATCCTTTAAAAAAAGGCATCCTATGAAACGAGGCATACCTTCACATCTCCCTAAGAATTGGAACGTGGATCGAAAAGATAATTTCACGTAGACCAAAAGATATGTTAATCAAGAAGTGTGTCAATAGCCCAGTGTGGCCTACGTAAGTGAAACAGTAGCAATATATCAATAATCCAAACTAGATGTCGAACAATGGCAAACGCGACTCTTGAAGGCATTTGTGATTAGTATTTGTCTCCAAAGAGAAAGTATTCGGTTTTTGTGCAGAGTAAAATCAGCGTAAAAAAGAAGCACAAAAGTTTGCTCAAGGAATAGCAAAAACGAGGGGCAGCCATTGTTCATCAAACAGAGAACTCATTGCCGATAAGCAATATCTAAGTGAATGAGACAGCAATTCTGATTTTTTAGATTAATTTTACCAGCCAGGCCGCTCGTTTTCACTATGTTGTGTTTGCTTATTGTTACGAATATTTATTGACTGTAAATTATAAGAACCCCTCAAAGTAAGGTTAGAAAAAGATGAAATAGAATAGAAGAAAGTTGGAGGTCTCTGCTAGAAGACGAAGACCCTATTTGTATATTATTATTTTTTCCTTTTTTCACTCTGATCTAACTTTCAATAGGAGATAATCCCCAGGAATCCTAATTCGTTAGCCAAAAGACTTCACAAAGAATCTCTACCACATGGTCAACAATGATCTGCTGAGGAAGAAAATCTCTCTTCGCCCCACCCGCCAGGCGGGAACCGCGTGGAGGTGAGAATAGGCGCATCTATGATCTCCCTATTGCCATTACTGCTTGGGTTTACTTCACTCTTGAAGTCCGCATTTTACGAGAGAGTCGCATTTACTCCCCTTTGCGCAACGGCCACGCCTCTAAATCCTTACTGTCTGCCTGAATATCGAACTACTGACTTTATTATTTTTACCCTTAAGTGGAGGATCGTAGGCTTTAAAGACGGACGAGCGTCTCATTGCTGAGCTAGATAGTTCGGGAGATATGGGGTGATTTAAATTTTTGTCCCACGGGCACTCCACAGATAGTTACATCTGAAAGAAGTGCACGCTCTTTACGCTTATAAGAACAAAAGGACGACCGAAACGTACTTATCGAAAGGGTAGATCATAAGCCTTGGCTCAAGCTGTACCCTACTTTAGGTACGGTCTCCTTCCTTCGGCCCGTGATTTCTAATGAACTTCTTAGCACTCTGTTTCAAGTAAGGTTTGCAAAAGTAATAAGGAAATATTTTGCAATAAGAATTCCAAAATGGTCGCACCATTCAACAATAATGGATGTAAATTGAAAATCTGCTTGAATATAAGCTTTCGTTTGAGTGAAATGAAAAGTGAAGAATAAATCTTTTCCCAGGATCACTCACCGTCTATCACATAGATAGATAAGTTTCGGGTTTGGGGTTATGAGAAAATGAATTACCTACGTATCTTAGGGGCCATAAGCTCCTGTACCCAATTGCGTAATGTTGAATCTGGGAAAAATTTATTTTCCATTTCTTCATCCCCTCAAATAAAAGCTTATTTAATTAATCTCGTTTTATATAATTTATCGCATTTCTATTTTATAATTATTACTTTAAATACATGTATATTTATTTATTTGATATATTTGACAGTTTCTTTCTATTTACATACGATCGTATTTCATTTAATATTTTTTGTTCATAACTAATGTTTTAATGCACACACATCGTTTTGATTAAATATTTCTCTCCTCGCAAACCAGAGATTATTTAGTTATGAAACAAATCGTAACTCTTGAGAATGTATTCTTGCAAATCAACAAAAGGTAGGGCGGAATGTTCATCATAGGGCGATCGATACCTTTCCAAAATTCCAAAATTCCACCCTCTTTAACATTAATAAACCAAAAAATAAAGTAAACAGAAGATTGAAAACAGTGATGAAGATTTCATAATTATCTATAACAAATTCTCTAATCCAGTGGTACAGAATTTGGTTAAATTGTATTCGTAAAATAATTTAAAATGTTGGGAGTTTGACTTCTAGTTATTGCTGGCGGCCGTGGATGCCTTCGATCCTGTTGCTCTTGTTCTGGTTGCGGTTGGTGTGCCTGCTCATGTTGTCGGTCGCGTTGCTCAAATTGTTGTACTATTTGTTCCGTTTCACGATGAGACTGTTCTATACTTACCAAGCTAACTTCTGGCAACGGTGTTTGTTGCAACGTCAAATTGTAAGGATTTTGCACATATTCCTCGTAGATATCAGTGCCGCTTTGCGCAGCTGAAGGCGGCACAAAGAGCGGTGTAAAACTATGCACAATAACGGGATTAGGTTGCTTTGTCAAAGATGGGTAAGCATTGCTCGTCGTTAAGTGACTCAATGGCAACTTAACATCTTCTTCAACACCTTGAAGTGCCATAAATTCACTTTCGCTCTCCGCCAGTGTAAGAACCTCATCACCACCAAGCAAAGATGAGTTCAATAGACTAGTAGACGTATCCAATCTGCTGGACGTATTCGACGCTTCCTTTTGTTGTTGGGTTTTTTGTTGCTCTTGCTCTTGATATTGCTGGTGTCGTTGAAAGCAGTGATTGTAGTGTTCTCGCACCAAATGCTTTATATTATTTTGATCATTTTCAGATTCATGATTGGCTCGTCGCCTTCTTTGATTGGCATCGGAATGGCGACGGTTACAATACATATCATTTAAATCAGTTGACGTGTCCGGCAATTCTATGGAAAAGGAAAGACTGTTTCCCGTAGATATATTATTCATATCATTATCAATCCAAGTCGAACTTAATGGAAGTGAACGCCCTTGAGTTCGCGACGATGTGGGTCTACTGCTAACGTTTGTTCTTATAGTGTTTGTAGTGGTGGTTGTCGGGATTGTAGACTCATTTTCAGGAGTGCTGCGAAGGTCTGTTCGATTATTTAAAGACGCCATAGATGTACTGGGTAGCTCCGGATTAGTCATTTGTGAAATTGTAGTTTCCTGGTAAGGGACTATAAATGGCATATTTTCTAATTGAGTAGGAGGTATCTGGAAAAATATTGCATTGACTTAGTTAAGTATTTTAGAAGCTTGCAAATCCTTTACTAACCTGACCTAAAATAATGGGTTGCTGCAGCAAATCTGCACTCGGTGGTTGTAAAATTATGCTATGTCGGGGTGATTCCATAGGTGAATTCAACGGTGACGTTTGCTCTGCGATTTGTTGATTTTGTTGCGGCAAAACAATTACTGATGGCGTCAAATTGTTAATGTGGCTGTTGTTGTTTAAATTTTTGCTCATAGCTGTTGTTGTTGTTGTTGTTGCCATTGTTGTTATCGTAGATTTTTGTGATGTTAAAGCAGTGTTGATGTTGTTTTTAATGTGCGCCATTACTTGTGTTCGATTACTTTCTGTTGTTGTTGAACATGAAAGGAAAAACATTAAAACATGAAACTGATAATTAAACTTTATGAATATCGGGCGCATCTCAATTTCGGCAAATGCGGTATAAAGCATATAATGTTTCTAACAATTTGTAAGGGCTTTTAATTATGATATATAGAAAGACTCTGAAAAGTGCGTATTCTAATTGTTTTCCACGAGCTACAAATTAGGACAACCTATAGTTATTTCCACCAAAGTGAATTGGATATGCTTTACAACAACAAAAGTGAGGTAAGAAATCAAAATCTTGCATAGGTACTTTCACAACGTGATTTAAACGATCTTGTAAAAAACTAACGGGCCACAAACACCGCCAAAACAAATGAAGAAAGACTGAAGCAACTTTGAAAAACTTACTATCTCCTGAAGATAGTTCCAAAAAAAAGTTTGGTGAAAAAATTTTCCAAAAGTTGCTTTCACATATAATCCCGACAGAATAAGCAAAAATTTTTCCAACTGAACTGAGTAAATAGTTCTTTTTTGTTTACCTTGCCTTGCCCTGAACCTCGAAATATATATATATATATATATAACTACATTTTTATTTTATTTTTGGGAACAATCTAGTCACGACAATAGCGATACTAATCCAATACTACGGTTTCTTAGCCATCCAGAATTAATAAAATTAATTTAAAGTTTTCCCAAATTTGGCTCCCCTCACCTAGAACGCCATCGAATGAAATTTTGTTGAAATTTAGGCAAACAATTTGAAAAATATAATAATCGCAAGCTTTCTTCAAGCAAGCAACTATAGCGAAGAACCGACTGCCCCAAAGAGGCATCTACTGTCACAATAATCCCAACGAATAAACCTAAACAGGCGAAAGAGAGTTTCAAAGTTGCCAAGCTAAAGCATTACAATCAAAGTCAAAGACGGCCACAAAGTAGTCTATATCGTTTAGCCTAATACGATTTTCATCATAAAAAGCCAAAAATTATTTTCATTATAATTGTTTGCCAAATGAAGTCTTTCTTTTGTATGTGAGCGGCTGTGCAAAAAACTTTACGACAAGATTCTTGACCAACATTTACCATAAAATATGGAAACAATTATATAAAAGGGATTTTCGACAAATGCTTCCATTCCATCCAAATTTTTTGTAATTTCAATTCAAAGGGAAATCGTATAAATATTGTTTTTTCGAGGTCATAGACAGCAGGGCTCAAATTCGGATAAGATATACTAGTGCACCGAATTTCTTCCAATTATGTCGAAAATTCGACGTCTGTATGTTGAATCGGGAAAGATAAGGCTAACAAGCGGAGGGGCGATCTTAAATTGATCAGAATATATTTCAGATCCGATTGACGGGGTTGAAAGGCGATTGAAAAGGATGGTCTATCTTCATATTACGAAAATTCGCACAGATATATCCGAGCGGCTTATAGCTATAAAAAAGTGACATGGTTTCCACTCTACAATTCCCTATGGATCAAACAATACAATGCTTACACTTTACGAAAGCTAGCCATGTAAAACAAATGAATGCACTATAGTAGGAGGTCGCGGCCGACCATTATTTACCCTACACCACCTTAAAGAGTTATATGTAACTATTTCCAAAATAAAGTATTGTATGGAAAGTGGTCAAAGAAGTGGTCAGATCCGAACCATTTTTAACTGCGTTTGCTGTTGGCCAAGCATGACAATATATCGATTTTCATCGGAATATCTCAAAAATAGCGTTCTGTATGTTGAACAAAAGAAGAAGGCAGGCGGACGGACAGACAGACGGACGGCCAATTTAAATGGATGCAGAAGGTCTTCATACATTCTTCTACATACATACTTCTTAATTGTGAACGTATGTAAATATAAAAAAAAAATTCGCTGAGACTTAGTTGAGACTTAGGAATTCGATTCACTAGATCAAATATCAAACGTTGTGTGAAATCAGAGTTGCTTTCTTACACGCTAGACGGTAATCAAAATATGGCTTTGATAGCGTAAAATTTCAAACGAAAATATAACCAGAAAATTAATTTTATTTTTTGTGTACATCAGCAACAACAAAAGAGAAGCCGGTTAATTTTTAAGATTATAAACTCAAAGAGGGGATTATCCTTCGAGAGAGAGACCAAAATGATTATTGCGGAGACGAATCGCGCCCTCTTCAAATACATATATATAAAAGGCATAAGATAGTTTTCGTATTAATCGAAAATATATATCTATATGTACATATACACATATAATATACAAATATATAATATATAAAATATAAATACATATATACACTTATACGTATGTATATATATATATATATATATATGAATTAATTTTTATTTCGTTAGTGCGCTTTATTGATTGGTTGATTTCATTTTTAATGATTTAATTAAGCTTTTCGAAATATCTTGTTCACGAAATTTCAATTGCTTGAGACTTTGTTCATATTTATTTTGCAATAAAATACCACGCAAAGCTTGTTCAAATTTACCTTAAATGTAAGGTAAAAAAAAAAAGTATTGAAAATAATTTATAGACGTAGTGATGTAGGCTTACCTTCGTCGTGGAATAATTCATCTTTTAAATTCGGTAGAAAATCCCCAATACGTTTCCAAGTCAGTTGCCACAAAGCCAAATGTAAACTTCCATCTTGGTTATGAAACACGCGTACCGAGTGCATAACTAGCAGCATATTTTTGAGGATCTCCTGCATCTGCTCGGACAGCATGTCCGACCCGACTTGCATGAATTTCTCTATATAATCCAATATATTTATCCAAAGTTCGTTAAAGACCTCGCCCAATTCAATTAAAGGATTTAAATGATGCAAAAATACTTTAGACATAATGGTGGCAGTACGTATACGTGATTCCTCTAAAAGCACACAATCCAAATGCGCTACAGCTGGACTATCAGGTAACAGCTCGTTTAATAGAGGGAATAAAACCTGATGGAAACAAGAAGCCCATTCACTACCAGAGAGTGTCTGCAGATCATGTACCAATAAAGCTCGTTGTTGTAAACAAGAAATTGCGTAGGTGCGCACCTCCCGGCGACGGTCGGTTGCCAAACGTGCTATGCCTTGCAACAGAGGACACCAGCCTTGAGCCCATAATCTTGGACCAGAGAATTGAGGAACTTCACTACCTTCTTCAGCCCAATAGCGGAATATTTGGGCGGTACGGGTGTACAACGTATACATTAAATCCAAAAGTTGTATCGATAATGTCTCATAACGCTGAGCTAAATCAATTTCATCATTCTCCTCGCAATCGATGCGTTGATCGTAATTTCCAAATTCTTGCGCAGTCAAATGACGTCGCTCATTTGAGCGTTCTTGCCTTTTATGAGAGTTTCTCTTTTTCTGTTGCCAACCCGAGGCTGCGGCCAACTCGTTTTTATATCTCTGCTTGAATCCGCCGTCACGACATGCCTCCACAAAAGTGCGTATGCATCGTACGCACGACTCAAAATTGTATGGAGTTATATGAGCAACGTTACGCACAATAAATGCTAAGGTATCCCAACATTTAAACAGCGCAAGAGGAGAGTGTTCGGATAGTTTACAGTTGTATACAAGCCCATTAAGAGAAGGAATTGACCCGTTTAAGCTCGATGTAGGAGGGGATTGAGGCCTTGATAAAGCATTCAAATCAGTATCCTTATTGATTAAAATCCAATTTTCACTAGCGGGACTTGATGGAAAAGGGCTGCTTGTATTTGAATTAGGTTGGAGCTTTTCTTTAGGTACCATTTGTTTATTCGTAATTTCCGAGTCAGATGTATAACCTCTATCAGGTAAACCGGAATCATCCTCACTACTCAAAGCGCCATCTGATTTGGCACTGAAACCATTAGGAATGGGTAGAGTAGCATCTTCAATATCTGGCGGTTCGACTCCTGCACCTACACATTCCAGAAGAGTAAATATTATCTGCCAATCCTGTTTCGTGTGTATATTATGGGCAGAAGTTTTAAGTAATTCATACATTCCGATGGATATTTGCTTCGAAATCCGTAGAATTACGGCGGGTTTCAACATCAGTAACATTTTCAATGAATCCAAGACCGAAGGGCATAATTCTTCATTACACATTAAATATATAGCCAGTTTAAGTAAAGCTACTACACCACGCCCTAGCAAGTAATCATAACTGCATGAAGCTCCTCCCATCAACAATAAATACATTTGATCTCTTACTGGCGTCCAAAGTGGAATCATGCGATCTCGATTATAGATTACGATCTTCACTAAAAACTCCATCCAAAATACGACAACATCCTCGGCATAAGGCAAACTGATTGACTTGTGCACTGATGGAGCTTTTAAAAAGGCTAGAACATGTTTTATAAGTTCTTGTAACGATTTTAGATGCACGAATGTAGATTGCTGATCCAGTTGACACTCTTTTATACATTTTTTAGCAATTTTTATACATTCTCGTTCCTCAAATGAAGGCTCACGTTGACCGTCCGACGAGAGATAAGAATACAAACTAGAAAATAAACCAGATTCTTGTTTTTGAGCAGGCTTCTCCAAAATTAGCTGCGTTTTGCCACTCGGCTCACAAAAATCTTCTACTTCCATCAGTGTTTTCGGCAACAACTTCAAACGGAATAATTGCAGATATAATTCCAATATTTGACGCCAACTTTCATGCAAACAGTCGCCATAATCGTGAACCAAAGCGAATACAGTTCGCATAGCTGCTTGGGCTTTCGGATTCAATCCAAAATTCACCGCTTGAACAATTTCATTAAAGGTAGGAGAGGTAACTTCTTGCTGGGCCGACGGCAAAAGTGTAGTAAATTTGCATAAAGTCAAGACGAGAGCATCAAAATCCTCATGTAGATCATAATAGAAAGAAATTCCAGCACATTTCGTAAAACCTGTTAAGCACAAGATTTTTTTAACAACTGCATACTGCTTAGGGGAAACGGATTATGATCATCATACCAGTTAAAGTACGTTGATAACCATTATCGCTACTCTTATCAAACATGAAACTTAATGCGCTAAGAGAAGGTCCCCAAATAATTTTAAATATTTCCATATCATAATTGGAATCTTGGGCATAGCTGAAGGTGCCGTCTGGACCCACGCCCCGTCTCAACAAAACTTTCCACAAGTAATTCTCGCGCACCAAACCAGTTTGTTCAGCCGGCACAACAATTTCTTCGTTCCTGAAAAAAAAAAAAATTTCATCAATAATGAAAAATTTAATGATATTGAAGAACTTACTTAATGGAATTAAAGATCGAAGCCAGCATATCTTGATTGAAATCGCCCTTTCCATTAAGGCCTCGTAAATTCTTAAGGAATCCCTCTTGAGTCATCGGTTGATTTCTACGTTTAGCATTTAAATTGTGTTGATCCATATTTAGCATAATAACAGCATAGGCCAATTTAAAAGCTGCATCATTATTGGCAAAAGGTTCCCCATTTTGTTTCTTTATAAATACATAATCAAAATAGAATATATTCTTAAAATATTAAAACATAATTTTATCAAAAGCCTTTCTAATTTCATCGATAACAAGCATAATGTGCTTTGAAGTTGCTTGACATAAGACATAAGACAAATGTTACTGCGACTTGTTTTCGATAATAAATGAATCAGAAATGAAGCCTTCATATACACTGATAACAAATTTAGACGGTCAATACAACTTCTGCGCTTGTTAGTTGTTCATATCAATATTCGCTTTATGTTTATTTGATGAAATTTAATTTGTTTAATGATAGTTGAACCTATTTCTGTGTAACTATTTATTTCTTAAGTTTTCGCTTACATGCCAATGATCTGCGAAATACTCCAACACCATAAATATTAGAGGAGCTTCTCCCGGTAGACGGAAACTTTCTAAATATAAACGCAACGCTTGATCTATCCGAAGACCCACAAAATTAAAAGTTTCTACAAAATTCATAAGAATGTCGGGATCATCTTCCTTTTTCTTCTTAACAGATATATAATCTCCGATCATTTTCTTATCCAATCCTGGATTTTCTCTAAGGAATAGCGCAACTTCTCGAGGATCCAAGCGTGGCTTTAAGATACCATGCTCTTGCAGATATTGTATACCCTTTTGCGGTTTCTGATTAAATAATTCAGTCCCCTGTCTGAGTGTATTTTTCTTGCGCTTAATTTCCGCTAAATATTCCCGCGTTATCGACTGAGATGTTGAATTACTGGTTGGCGATAAACCTAAACGTGGCGCGCAATTAATAAATTTGGAAATATTTTCCACTTTAGAATCTTCGGGTGGATTTACGTCGCCAATAACAATGCTTTCTAAATCGGAGTTGTGTCGTGAATGCCTGTTGGAAGGCAATGGCGTTGGATTTATGGCGCTGTTATCGCAGATTGGTAGACAATTACTTTCAATACTATCTACTACGGACAGCAAAGTGTCCATAGCGATAATATGAGTATTATATACTGCGGTTGTAGCCGATAAAGTATACTTTGACAGAAGGTTAGTTATATTCTCAAATAAGTCGGAGCAATATAAAGCACAGTCATAATTTATGTACAATTCCGTAACAAAGCCGGGAAGGCGCCAAAGCTGCAATAAATTATCCAAAGCTAGCTCACGCATTTCGTAGGGTGTTTTAGGATTATCGCTGGCTATTATTTCACATATTTTTTTCAAGTAAGCCTCTAACTGGAATTTCAAATGACCGCGTAATGATTCAAAAAGCAAAAAGCACAATTGCAAATCGGCAGAAAATATAGACAGACGTTCAACGTTCATTAACTGAAATTGAAAGATTTGTCAAATGGTATTTCAAACAACGACAACAGCGATCTTTCGGCGAATCTTCAAAGCCCACCATCAAGAATTGTGTTCCAAATTCTTTTGCACTTTTACATAAATCATCAGTTTTAAAGTTACAGTGATAAGACGAAATTATATCGCAGCCATTATGACCTAACATACATTCAACACTGATATGAAAGTTTGCAACCCTAAAAAGAAAATGATAACATCTCCTGTTGATTGAAAATATTTATCATTGTAGGTGCTATGGATATGTTTATCCGTCGATGGTGGCTGCAGAAGAATCGCTTATAATTTTTTCGACTTACTGCGAACAGATTGCGACACAAATCGTCTTTTACTAATTGGAGTAATGATTCATATTTTCCTATGTTATCGGCTCCCACTTCGAAAGCTACAGTTAATAAGCTAAGACCCATATGCATCATAGGCTCGGTATTTTGTTTATCCAAAGGATCACAAAGTGTAATCAAGATGCGAAGACACTGCTGTATGCATGGCAATCCATAAGGAAGCAAAGGAGCTAAACCATCAGAGTTATCCATAGAGTTTTGCTGAGTGAAACGAACGCCAACCGAATTTATGTATTCGTTGTTAGCAATCGTACTCGTATCTGGCGCCAAGGGTGAATGGGACTTTTCTTCAAGATTTTCTTCAGATTTCATAGTGCTCATCCCTATATCCATATTTTCAGAGGATTGTTGTTCATTACTTGCTGCAATCACATTTTCTTTCATTTCATTCCCATTTACAGAGGCTTGCATCATCTCATCATGCAAATCGATTATTTTCCCGGCTTGAAAATCTAACGTTGCTGCCGAAGACAAAGTTTCCAATTGAGAAGCAATTGCTTCAGGACTTGTGGAAACATCTGCTAACGTGTGAAAAGGACTATTAAAATCTTTATCGGGCTCGCATACTGTTGAAACTTTACGCTCCTCTTCCTTCTCCTCGACACTTAATTCAAAACTCTTGAAACTATGTTCATGCTCGGAGTCATTTACTGGACTCGTTTGATTTTTTATTATTCTCTTAGAAGTTGTATGTTTGTTGTCTTTTTCGATAGCAGCTGTCATCATTTGCACCTTTTTCGATAGACCCGTGTCTTTAGAATCTTCAGAAAATTGTGGTAAACGCATAAAAAGCAGTAAAACCATATCTTTGAGTGCCTGTTCGGCGGAGCGCCTTAACAATTCATTGTACTTTTGATCAAAGCAAATTCTAAGGCAACTTATCACAACTTCGCAAACAGCTTCGTTCGTTAAAACCGAACCTTCCGGTCCGCGCATTATTGTATGCAAAACTTCCACTATATGAAAAAGCGTAACACCATCCGAAGATTGATCAGTAACCATGAAGCGTGCATTAGTGACAGCATCTACTATATTTTCGACAGTAATAGCCAAATTTTTCGAAGTGGGATCTATAAATTAACAGGTGACTTTAAAATTTATAATTAATTAAGTAGAAACCATTAATTACCAAGCAGACCATAAGATAAAAATTTGTTGATAGCGGATAAAGCCAAACTGGTGACAGCGCCGGTTGTTTCATCTGTTCGTATTACTTCGAGGAACGGCGCTAGAAATATATCGGGTTCTATGGAACGAAGATCTTTCGTGCGATTTAACTCTTGCTTTAAGTCCATAAATAATTTCATGAGACCGTCTTTATTTTCATCCTTAAATATAACAAAGAAATTTTAGCACACTAAAAGTATAAAATAATATAATCATACCACGTATGCTGACAGATGTGAGCTCCAGCGAGTACCACGGCGCATCGCAGTCATTAAGGTAGACATTTCACCACGCACCACAAATATTCCATTACCGGGCAGCGACATTTCGAATAATATTTTTCGCTCAATTTTCTGAATTTAAACAAGGCAAAAAAAGCTCCAATCTTGTGGAGGGGGGGCGCTATATAAATTAATTAGATTCTTGTGTATATTTCGCTTTTTTCTCGCTTACGTTTCATTCACTTCGTTTATTTTCCTATTTTATATGTATTCCTTTGAAATGTTATTCATTTTTAATGTTTGTTTTTTAAGGACACGAACTTTTTAGTGGAAAAAATGAAAAATTACACGCAATCACTATAGAAAAATTGTTTTTTTTTTCTTTTTCTTAGACTGATGACGTTTGGTTGGTATTTATAACAACTCTGTTTTTTGCAAGTGTTCATCCTTTTTAGATAACTTTCGTCATTAAAATTCAGTAGTTAACAAAATGTTACCGATAATCAATAACTACTTGCATTATAAATTTGAGTAAATTAGACAATTCAAATAATCTTATTATTAACGTTTGCTTTTCTATTGGGAGGAAATTTACAGTTTAATGAATGAATGAACAAGTGTAAAAGTTCCAAAAGCTTTTTCATGCCATTGTTGTAAGTTTTTGAAAATATGCTAGTAGAATTGCGGAAAAATTCTTTTTCAAAGCTTATTTTTTGTTCTAAACCTAAGAATTTAATAATCGGATTTGGCCATCTCATGGGTATCGAAATTATCGTCGTCAAGAAATACCGATAAAAATTGAAATATTTTCCATCGCAATTTGCCAAATGGAAAAATTTGTTAGTACGTTGTAAGCCTTATTGGATAAGATAAAAATATTGTGTAAAAGTCAACTCAAGGAATTTAAAATTTTTCTTGTAATTATTTAAAACTCTAAGGTGCTCTGAAAACATTCCCTGAGTTTACTAAAACAGAAAACATACTTAATCCCATACAGTATGGGAAATACAGATTCAAAGTTAAATTTCCGCAAAGCTATTGTATTAACGCAAAAAAATCAAAGAATTGATGCTGATGATCCGTTTTGGGAACAGTTTTGGACAGGGCATCAGACTACATTGGAAGATGTTTTTGTCTTAGTTACACCCAACGAAATACGGAACATACGAAACGATAATCCGGCGAATTTGGCCACACTATGTTATAAGGCTGTTGAAAAATTAGCGGAGGCGGTTGATAGCAGTTTTGTATTCATTTAAAAAAAGCAAATTTTTATTTTAACATTATTATTTTATAGGTTGTAGGACACAAGCCGAGCAGCAATGTGTCCTGAATTGTGTGCGACTGCTGATAAGAATAATACCGTACATATTTGAGGATGAAAAATGGCGGGATTTTTTCTGGAGTAGTTTGCCAGCCCAAGATAAGCAATACTTAAATAGTAAAGAGCAGCATCATCTTTCCGCCGCTGAAAGTGAAGAAGGAAAAGATGAACGATCGCATGGTCAAAATCAGACCGTACCTTTAGCTCAGTCTCTGCTGAATGCATTATGTGACTTGTTATTCTGCCCAGATTTTACTGTGACGGCTGCCAGGCGCGCTGGTCCTGACAAGGCGGAGGAATTGGCAAATATAGATAGTTGCGAGTATATTTGGGAGTCAGGAGTGGGCTTTGCCCATTCTCCACCCAAAAATGCGCATATGGAGAGACGCAGAACAGAAATATTGAAATTATTGTTAACTTGTTTTTCGGAGCCCATGTTTCGTGTGCCGCAGCAGTCGAACGAGCCCAACAAATGGATTGCGTACTTTACTTCAGCCGATAATCGTCATGCTTTGCCTTTGTTCACTTCTTTGCTGAACACGGTGTGCGCTTACGATCCTGTAGGTTTTGGAGTACCTTACAATCACTTGCTGTTCACTGACACCACGGAGCCTTTAGTTGAAGCATGCCTGCAAATTTTGATTGTTACCCTTGATCATGACATGATTATACAACAGCAACAACAACAACTAGAAATGCAACGTCAATTAAAGGTGCCCATAATTCCATCACCCTATGATGTGGACGGATGTGGTGATAATTTGTTTATCAATTATTTGTCGCGCGTCCATCGAGATGAAGATTTCCATTTCATTTTAAAGGGCATAACCAGGCTTTTAAATAATCCTCTAGTTCAGAATTATTTACCTAACTCCACGAAACGTTTACATTGCCACCAGGAGTTGCTCATACTCTTTTGGAAAATTTGTGATTATAATAAAAAATTTTTGTACTTCGTCTTAAAAAGCTCAGACGTTTTGGATATTTTGATACCGATTCTATATCACCTCAATTATTCTCGTGCTGATCAATCACGTGTGGGGTTAATGCATATTGGTGTTTTCATATTACTGTTATTATCAGGTGAGGTACAAAATGGGTTCATAAGGTTGTTGTAACTTTGGCAAATTAATTTTTATTTTTAGGCGAAAGAAATTTCGGAGTACGCTTAAATAAACCTTATACCGCCACTGTCCCCATGGATATTCCGGTCTTTACCGGCACTCACGCTGATCTCTTAATAACGGTTTTTCATAAAATTATTGCAACTGGTCATCAACGCTTACAGCCCCTCTTCGATTGCTTGCTTACTATACTTGTTAATGTATCACCTTACTTGAAAACTTTGTCTATGGTGGCGAGTGTAAAACTCTTGCATTTATTGGAAGCATTTAGTACACCATGGTTTCTACTCTCTGCCCCAAGCAATCATCATCTAGTTTTCTTTTTATTAGAGATATTTAACAATATCATTCAATATCAATTTGATGGCAATTCCAATTTAGTTTACACTATCATAAGAAAGCGTCATGTATTTCACGGAATGGCTAACCTGCCAACTGATATGGCTGGTATAGCTAAATGTTTAAGTGGACGCAAAGTTGGCAAATTCAATTTACCCCCAGTACGTCAAAGGCGTTTAGCAACTAATGCTAATACTAACCACTGTGCTAAGCAAATTTCTAAATCCGAAGAAGAAGAAGAAGACATTGATGATGACGAAGATGAAGAAGACGAAGATGAACTTGATGTGCCACATTGTCTGCCTGCAAGCATATTAGAAGCCAACGCCGATACCCTGGAAGACGATAATGGAAAAGAAGCGGAAAGCTCTATAACCGCTTTGCCGGCTGAGCCAGGCACGTTAAAAACATCCTTGCTGGAAACGCCTGGCATTAGTCAAATGACCGAACGTGAACAGGCACATCCCGTGTGCACTGATCAAACGCCTACTATTGATGGCACCTCCGATATAGCACCATTCGGGAAAAACAACACTGAAAAAAGTTCATCTAGCAGTCCTAATGACCATGAGATTACTGAGGTGAGTACGCCTAATAAAAGAAATCATCGCCTGGCTGTATCTCAAAGGGGTAGTATAAGAATTGTGCCGCAACCATCTCCAGAAGTCTGGACGCCTACCCCCGAATGGATAGTATCTTGGCGATCCAAATTGCCATTGCAAACTATAATGCGTTTGCTACAAGTCCTGGTACCGCAAGTGGAGAAAATTTGCATTGACAAAGGTTTAACTGATGAGTCGGAAATATTGAAATTTTTGCAACATGGCACTTTAGTTGGACTTCTGCCTGTGCCGCATCCAATATTAATAAGAAAATACCAAGCGAATTCTGGAACAACCGCTTGGTTTCGTACCTACATTTGGGGTGTTATCTATTTACGAAATGTTGAACCAGCTGTGTGGTATGACACAGAAGTAAAACTATTCGAAATCCAAAGAGTCTAAAAAATATACGAAAAATTTCCGTCCCTCACTCAATATCTCACTCCCTCTATCTTTACGCATTCCTTTTTTAGCTTATATTTTGGATGCAAAATAATTTTTATGAATACATAAATATTTAATTACTTTAAGACGAAAGTATTTCTACAAAAGCTTTATATTGTAATAAACATTTTAGTTGAAATTTATGTCGCGCTTTTAATTTAAATGCTTACGTATTTTGTTATCATCGCATATGGTCTTTACATTTTCAATTTTATCGTTTGTCAGCAATGAGAAAATGAAAATTTATGTAACCTAATATAAAATAAATAAGTTATTAAAAAATTTATAAAAATAAAACACATGGCTTTAAACTTAAAAATATACTGAGCTTTCTTAATTGATTACGTCAATGAGCCAAAGCAAGCGGATGTTTCCTCATGAGTAAAATTTTCATTGAATTTTTCGACGATGTTTGTTTACTTTTTTACTAATATTTATTATTATTACGTACAATCACCAAATACAAATGCTTTATAGTTTCGAAATTATATGAATATAGTCAAGAAGGGTTACATACAATTTTGGATGCCATATCGAGCTTACATAAACAAAGTATATATATTATTAACAAAATGCTATCAAAATTAACTACTAAAAAAATTATTTATATAAAACAATTAAGATAATTGCATTCGGCAGAAACTTTTGTACATTGCACTTTTTTCTTAAAAGGAAAGCAAAAAAAAAAAAAACTCTCGGTACCCAATAATATTGCATTTTTGTACACATGTGCAGAAATTGCACATATAATGTTTACCGTTTTATCTATTGTAGTTTACAAGTAACAAACGAAAGACCGAATTTTCTCTGCCTTTTGAAATAGACGTGTTCCCACTTCATATTGTATGGTGTTCTTTGATCACAAGAATAATCAATGCTTATGCAAAATTTGAAGCCGATGTGTTCATATTTGCGACCAGGAGACTATTTACCTCAGACGTTACACAGAGATACAAGTTTACTAACCGTAGGGTGGACGGACATGCTTAATTCGATTCAGGATTTGATACTGACCGACAATATATATGCTCTAGGGGGTCTCTGAAATTTTCATCTGGATGTTGGGACAAATAAATATACCTTTGTCCTTCGCGGTGATTAAAGAAATTAAGTAAATATAAACAAGTAGCATGTGGTTCGCTTTATTTTTTAAATAGATAGGCAAAATAAATTACACGACTAGTCTAGAATCGTTTCATTAAGGCCAAATATATAATCAATACATTCTCTTGGTATTTTAAAGATATGCATGGGGAGTAGGAACTCCGAATGTGTGTGTTCAAATTTTGGAAATGGTATAGCACACATATGCTTAACCGTAACCGTCTGCAATTGCAAATTGGATGAGTAGCTATTTTAGAAGTCGATTAGCATGTAAAATGCAAATGCTTGACCTTAATTTTCTCGTCGTTGATTATATGTAAGAGGAAATTATTAAAGTTCGAAGGCTGAAATTTTCCACTACTCTTTACTCTTTGTGCAAATGGAAAAAATCGGCCATGCCCACACAATGTTACAAGTGAGTACATATTATTTTTGCACTTTTTTGTGGTTTTGTGCGAACAAGACGGAATGTTTAAAACTATTTTGTACATTCCTCAAATGAAGATTTATTATCTGCCTAAAAATGGATTAATTCTGAAATGAATATGGTAGACACCGTTGCTAATTTTTGCGAGACTCAGCCAAGCGAATATAACTTTCTTACTTGTTTGACTTTTTAATCAGTTATATATACTTCTCAAACTTTGAACTCAAAAGAATTATGAAAAGAATCATTAGTGTATAGTTAACATTCTAAAAACACAGTATCTATAAAAAAGATAGAATAAATAAATAAGGATTTAATTGGTTTGTTGTATATAATAAAGAGCTCAAAATTGCAAATATTATACATATTTATATATTTATTTCTCCATACACAAACAACCTTACGATTTATTTATAAACGGTTTTCTTGAAAGCGGATTTCAAAAAATACGATCAAAGTCGATATTTGATATATTTTATGATTCGATCGGAAGCGAATGCAAAGGAAACATAAATTGAGTCGGTACGAAGATGAAATAATGTCCTTAGCAACTTGACCAATATGTATTGGTACCTAAAGAATTTGCATTTTGTCTCCGTAAGTGGCAATTGTATTGCCTAAGTTACGTTAATGGAATTTTAACTGGAATTTAAAGAGTTTCAGATAGTTGCTGTGACAAAGGAACTATCTGTGATGATAATCGTACAAGGTTTGGATTAGCGAGCCAGGTTTATGACTTGAAGATTAGCAGATGGTCAATTTGAACTTGTTTTGTTTTATCTCTACTGCTTTGGCAGGCAAGGGGACAGAGCCTAGTGTAATGGAGAATGATGTTTTAATTGGTTTGCTACTTAGCCAACTTAAAATGTAACGTCTATTAAAATCTTAAGTTTCTTTCAATTCTTTGTCTTTTTTATTTCTTCCAAAAATTGCTTACAAAGCGGCCAAAACGCGAAGCACTTGTTGTTTATTTTATAATACTTTGTTTGGCAATAATCTATAATTTTTAAACATAGAGTTGCCAATGTTTAAGAAAATTACTCATTGTCATAATCAGCTGTTAGACAGGTACGTTTAAACGAAGGAAATAAATGGTTGGATATATAGTCGCACTACATAGAACAGCTGTTTCGAAAATGATAAATAAATTGTTAAATAAGGAAATTAAAAAAAGAGAAACCAAAAACTTGTGAAATTTTTGGAAAAAAAGATGTCATCATTATTAAAATCCGTAGCTCTTCTCAATAGTATACGTTGCTTTTTAACTAAATCTGGAAATCTACGCGATGCATATCAGGCAAAGGAAGCTTCTGGAAACTTTCGGAACTTATGTAGAAAGCGGATGAGCACAACGTCAACAAAGATTCCTAATGAGGTTAAAAAATCGAAAAATCCTGTAAAGATAACCTTAATACAAAATCAAAACGTGTCGGTAACTACACTGGAAGAAGCAAAAAATTTGGCCAAGAGAAGAGCTATGCATCTAATACAATTGCAGGAGTTAGATACGAAGACTCAAAGGCCGGTGTACAAGTAAAGTAAAGAAACCCATTGGGATGCAAATGGTATCAACGTTTTTCATACATTTCAGATTATTAACTAATGCTGAAATATTAGTCGAAGAACTATCAGAATTAAAAAGCAAAGACTCCAACGATGCACCAGCTGTAATACCAACAAAGCCTGCACAAAAAAAAACCGAAAAATCTCTAAACATTGGTTCTCGGATTTCTGAAAACGATTTGAATGCACGTTTAAAGAATATTGCTAAATGGTTGAGTAAAGGTCACGAAGTGCGTATATTAATACAGAGCACAGGAAATGATACAGCAAAGTGTGATCAGATTTTTAAATCTATTGAAACTTTTATTAAAACTCCCGAAGTAGCTTTGGGAAAAATTGTACAGAAGCATTCAAAGGGAACGGCTATAAAATTCAGCATATTACCAGTAACAAATTTGGCAACTGAAAACGCAGACTGCGGTAAACTTTCGCCGAGTCAGGCCTGACTCAGACATGGTGCGAGCTGTTCAAAAAAAAATTTCTGCTTGAATATGTGTATTAGACAGATGCATAGTGAACATTTTCCACACCCCAGTGGCTTTACTATTTTCCTTATTGTTTCGTTATTTATTTTTACAAAATACTTTCTATGGCATCGCATTTTGAAGGAAAATAAAAAACCGGAAGAGAAGGAAAAGAAAAAGAGACCTCATCATCCCACTTTAAATCCACCCCCACCTCGTCATCCCCATTCCCATCCACGTCATCCACACAATCCACATCACGACTACTCCCATCCAAATCTTCGCCCACATCTAGGTCCACCTCAACACCCACATCCATATCCGCCCACAAATCCATCACCCTATGAAAAGCCACGTCGTTCGGAAAATGTAGCATCTGAGTCAGAAAAGTAGCAGCCGCACTTGTCGACTATTAATTTTAAGAACAATTATGATTAAATTTTGAGCATTAATTTAAAATTTGAGTTGCAAAAAAATTTTAATAAAATTTCAATCTTTATCAAAGTATTGTTTGCTAGTATTGTTTGCTAGTAAGGCTTCCGTTTTGATATCCGCCACCATTTCCTAGTTGGCGATGAGCATGCCATATCCTGTTTAAGTTTAAGATAATGTGGACCCATTTGCCGAATAGGCTTTTGACAAACTTTTTCGCAATTCTCCATCGATTGGAAGCGGTTTAAGTTACGATCGCATATGTCGGCAGCAAATAGCATGCACTGGTCGGTGCAGACATTGTAGAACCAATAATTCTTAATCACCGTTGGATCGCTACATTTAAAATTTTTTAAAGTTTTATAACAAAGTTGTGGTATAATGTGATCCCTTGGATATTTTTGATCGAAGCCGTACTGAAGCTTACGGCGTCCTTCGGCATCCCAAAGAGCATTTTTAGGTGAGCCTTGCTGTTCTTCATCGCTATTGGCACGCAACAAATTGGCCGACTCAAGATGGGCGCCAAAATCTTTGTAATTTCTAATTAAATTGTTTTCCTTGTACTCGTCATACTCCATCGGATTGTCGTAGTTCGCAACGTTTTCTTCCTCTTCGCTTTCATTAGTATTTTCAAGGGTTTCGAAACTTTGATGAACTTCTCCTAAACAATTGCGACCAAAGCACTTCTTATATTCAACAAGTTTTAGAAAACGCAATCTCTGCTTAGAAAGCAATAAATTTTGGAGAATTTTCTTAAAATGCTTTTTACAATTTTAGCTTACATGGCATTCTTCTTCTTCTTCGGAATTCAAATAATAACGTCGTCTTATCATTATTCCTTCGCCGCAAGCTTTATTGCATTGAGACCAAGGCGACCAGGCACCTATCTCACATTTGGCTGATCTTATTTTCTCTGTGGATATTAGAAAATTGCCTTTACGATCTGCCTCCGTAAAGGATGTTTTCCGGAAAGCATAGGTTCCAGTTTTTGTCAATGGCAAATTATCACAATTGTTTCCTTGACAAGGGCGCTCTTGTCTTGTCGCCACCATCGCGTCGCAATTATATATTTTTGCCATTTCTTCTTGTTTGTATACGCGCGAACGATCTTGAAAGCCTTCGCCACACTCGGCCGAACATTTTGACCACTTCGACCAAGGATGCGTAAGACATTCGCGCGGTAGATTTTCGGCATTATCAGCTAACGGAAGGGACGAAAAAAAAAGAAGGAGTGTAAAATTATTCAAAATTTAGATTTATTTCACTCACATTCCTTATCTTTGCAATTACGTTCATATATACGTTTTCGATGTATCCTTAAAGAGGCCAAGGGTTTCATAGGCGCCCCGGTTTCGTCATAAAAAGGCGAGCGGGCATCTGATGGAAAATCTGAACGCATTCGTCTTATAACATCCGGTGGTACTTGCGGTTGATCGGCGGACTACGTAAATTGAAAAGCAGAAAAATTATAATTGTCTTAGCGAGAATTCATCAGTTCGAGGGATCATAAAAGCATATAAGTAATTATTAATGGGGAACGATGCAGTTAGTATACCCTGAGAAAAGAATTTGCTTGCTTACCGTATAAGTGGGACCTGCGTCTGTACCCGCGTCCCAGGGATATAAATTTATTTGCTTTTCTTCCAGCCAAGTGCAGTTAGCCAAACATAATTCCAGTCCCGATACTCCTACAAACCAGTCAGGTGACGGTTCGAGTTTGCTGGCCAGAGAAAACTGATGATTGGACGGATCTACGCGTATAGAAGCCAATGACTGCCCATTTAAATTCGGAAATGCTGGACCTCTGGCCTTAATTATAGTTCGCACTTTACCTAACCGATAATCTTCATTGAAGCTTGCTTCTAACGAACGTGTCGAGCCGTGTTCAACAAATTCACGCATAGCATTTGTAGCTAAAGCTCCGACATCCCAAAATCGATAATCGGATGTATGAGAAGCCCCCACTACATCACTGAAGCGAACAGTCCAAAGACGATCGGGAAAATCTTTGGGATGTAAGTTACGCGACCACAAACCCTCAAAAGTTATCTGTAAAGAAAATAATTTTTGCAACGATTTCGTTTATATTGCGATCGTTATTACACTTACTTCATACCGTGCCTCATCGCAGGCACAACATAACCGCTCTTCTGAATCTTTCTTTTGACTTTCGAGATCATCGATCACTTCTTCACATATACGTTTAGTTAGACCGCCATCGTCCATAAACCAAACGTCTCGGTGCTGTAGAACAGTTGCACGTATTAGAATGCAACCCATGCCCACTGTACTAGGAGCGATCCATTCAACGTCCAATCTCTTCTTAGGATTGGTATTTGTTGTCTCGATCATATTAATGCAATCGGTACTGTAACGCGTAGCCACCGAATCAATAATATTGAAACGACCCAAATCCTCGTAGAAACTTTTACCACCTTGATCGTTTTCCAATGTCACTTTGGCACTCAGAAAACGCTGACCATTATAGGATTGTAAGGAAACTGAAAATGAAAACAAGACGTTCCTGATCATAAAGCAAGGAAAGGAGTTTAGGGCAATTCGTGCCAAGAATACCGATTGCGTAGGTGGAAGTTCGCAAATCGTTTGCCAAATCCTTCCTTTAACCTTCGAGATGTCTTATTCTTCTATTTGATAATACAAGTAGCCCTATACAAGTTTTTCAATATTTTCAATAATTTTCATTATTCGAATTTTCACCTGAATTTTCTGCTTCTTCTTCTTTGGAAGAGTGTAAAAACAAGTTGAAATAGTTTCGTCATTAATGGGAAAATTTCCAATTTTGTAAACAAAACGCATAAGCAAATTTGCTGAAATGAATTCCGGGAAATTGAAATTAACGTACAAGTAGCTACGAATCTTATCAGTTGAATGCTTAAGATAGACGGCCTTGTGATATTTCTGTTTTTCTTTTTTCATTTCATTAAATCAAACGCGCAATATTTGAGAACGAAATTTGTTTTTTTTTTAATTTTCAAGTTCAATAACATGCGAACTTACTTGGAAAGGCAATCACGCTTTTGTAAAAGTTACGCACAGACGTTGCTTTAATATTATCATTTATTTGTATTGACTACTAACACTAATACTTTCTCAGAGAGAGTTTTACTATCAATCTTCAGTTTTCTGTTACTCATTACTACTACATTACTGCAAGCAGACATTCTGGCGCCAGGCACGAGTATTTTTACTTACTATTGTAGCTTTGTCCCAATATGTAGGTATTCGGATTACCCGATATTAAAATTGCATAATTATCATCCACAGGCGATTTGGCCGCAAATGTATTCGAAGGGTAACGATTGCATTTTCGAGCGAAAATTTGATTTTGCCCTTTTTGTAAGAGGATCACAGTTAAAATGAAACGTGTAAACAAAGCAAATGACATTTCTCTTTCAATCCTTTAGTTAATTTTTCTAATTCTATTTTAATTAATACAAAGCTTTTCATTTGTTGTTTACTGCTTCGAGTTTTGTCCTATACTGAATTTCAAGTTGCTGGCCGTTTCTAAGCCGATGAGTTCGAATGGATTATTGATAAGACTAACTTAGAGTTCAAAATCGCTCTCTTCGCTTTTATAAAACGTAAAATATATGGTAAGTTAATTAAATACATTGGCGTCATTACGGCCTTAGAAAGTGATTAAATTAACCGGATGCGCCAGAGCGCCAGATGCCTTCGAACGACCATATGCTTTTCATAAGACTTTCTCTAAGAGAATATTTACGCGACGGGAACAAAATGAGTGACTCTGCGAAAAATTTTCGAATTCGAGTAAGAATTTCATAATCCCGAGACGAGAGTGTTGCTCCAATTTATGCTTCTCGGGTCGTTTTCTGCAAGTTCCCAAAAAGCATTTCAAGGATTATGAGGAATTCTATACAAAAATCAATCCTAACTCTAAGGTAAAGTTTTTGCTAAACACTTCCGCTAATAAGTTACCGATGGTAAGCAAAACGAAGTCTCATGAGAGATGCGATTGTACTCATAAAAATGGAGTGCTTGGTCTTGAAGGTATCATTGTGAACTATCTCTATTAATGCACCAAGAGAAGTGTAAGTAATCAATGGACATAGCGTATTCTGCTCAAGATAAGTTGAGAGAGTTTTGTACGATTTCAGCGCAACGTGCAACGCAATCGACAATGCTGTTTACCTGTTGAGAGAAAGGTATGATGGGGAGCACTGTGGAATTCGATTACGTTTATGCGAATTGATTATCATCGACAAGCGATAAATTGTTTGTATGTAAATGGATGAGAAGATAATAAAAAGTTTGATTTAAACTTTAAGTATATCGGGATAGCCGCAGGATCATTGTAATCATGCGATAAATTTCATAGTTTATCTATTCAATAAACGATTGATTGTGTCGACTGATGTTTGAAAATTTTTATTTAATTAATATCTAAAGTAAAATAGCTTCCTTCCACCTGCTGAAAGGTATACAAAATTCGCCTCAAGTTTTCTTCACATTCGATGTCTCTTATCTTTACATAGCTCTCTGTGTGTTATCACTTCATCTTAAGCTAGGTTAGTAGAAATTCAATGTTAATCCAAAGATTTCTGCAGAAAGACAAAAAAGAGAGGCCTTTAACTGCTTTTCTCTCTCTCTCTCTCTCTCTCTCTCCAGCTCTCTCTGCTAGAAATTTGCACTTTTCATAACTCAAAAGGTACGCTTTATATATATTGCACTCCTTTTTTCTTTAGGCTGTTGAGCAGCTTTTACCTTAACCTCCTCCCTCTCGTTTATGTGACGTTTTAAACATTTTTCCTCACAGATTTCCAATTTACGAAATTTGTTGCGATTAGTATCGCAACTGTCGGCTGTAAACAGTTTACATTGAATATCATCGGCGTCATAAAACCAAAAATTTTGTAAAATAACACGATTTTTATTACAGAACGCCTTTGGCGCTACAGGCCTCTCCATGCAATAATCCGGCAGCATGTTGTTAAGCGAATTATTTTGTTTTCTTGTTGTTGTATTCGCAATTAAATATTGCGTTGATTCTTTTGCATTTTGTTTGCGAGTAACATTTTCTGTTTGGCCGACTAAGTCTTGATCAAGATCGGTATCATCTTTCGTGGAATTGTTAATGTTAAACGAACGTAGCGAATTGCTCTCAGATCTCAAGCCAACTTTTGGGATCGCTTGTGTTTTAACGAGCTTACGATTTAATTTCGCTATTTCGTAGATTTCTTCAATATCTTGGGGCTCATAGGGTTCCGAATATATATCATCGAAAGAAGTATTAATAGAACCGCCGCAATTTTGACCGTAACAGCGACGCGTTTCTTGCAAATCTTGACGCACATCACTCTAAGGAAAGGAACATGTTTATTAGGCGATACTCTTGTAGTATACAAAAAATCGGGCACAGACCTGACACCTTTCTTTGTTGTAACCGTTAATATATTCTCGAAGACGTTTTTGATAGCCGCGACCACATTTCTTCGAGCACTCAGTCCAATCGCTCCATTCAGTGAGTTCACATTCTGTTATACCGGTCATATCTGAACTATAGGTTAAACCGCATCGATTGCCTATACAATTTTGATTCTGTCTCAACACTTGACGGCATTTGTAATGTCTCGCCAATTCCGGATCTTTGTAATCGCGTACACGATACTGAGTGCCGGGACCGCATTTGGATGTGCAATCGGTCCAATTATTCCAGGGATGAGTCGAGCATTCTAAAGCAACATTTTTATCTGAAAGGAAAGGAAAGAATTATTAATCAAAAGTAGAATTCAAAATTCGAAAAATTGCCCAGCGACTCACTATAACTGCAATCTTTCTCATAGATTTTCTTTCTATTTATGTAGAGAGTAGCTAGCGATTTCATTGGTGCACCCGACTCATCGAAAAAAGGCGAACGATAATCTCGTGGATATGATGACGTAATACGCCTTATAACGTCTGGGGGAATTTGTGGTTGATCGGGGGACTGCAGCAATACGTTGCGATAGATAGATTGTTTTTATTACTCAGATATTTCAAATCTTATTTACCATATAAGATGAACCAGCATCAGTTCCCACATCCCAGGGATACAAATTCAAAGTCTTCTCGGTTATCCAAGTGCAATTGGCTAAACATAGCTCTAAGCCGGCTACGCCTAAAATCCAATCAGGTGAAGGTTCAATTTTTGCAACTAACGAAAGAATGTGATGCTTAGCGTCAACTCTGACGGTAGCCATGGTCGTGGCAATGGAATTTTGCCTATAGCCAATACCAGGGGCTTTAATTATGGTTCGTATTTCGCCCGCCTATGAGTAAAAAATAAAAAAATCGCTTACTCGGCACGATTTTTTGGAGACTTAAGCTTACACTTGCAGTTTCTGTAATTTCTCTTTCCAAGGCTTTTGTGGAACCATGTTCTGCCAATTCTTTGAGACCTGCACTGGCCAAACCGCCGTATTGCCAAAAACGATATTCTAAAGTGTGCGAAGCACCCAGCAATTCACCAAATCGCGTACGCCATGCCTCGGAAGGAAATTGTTTGGCATGGGTGTTTCGCATCCATTTGCGTTCCAATATTATCTAAAATGATAGACAGCTAGAAATTGCTTTCCTAAAGGAAACGCTAGCGCACCTCATATTTAGCCTCATCACAGGCGCAGCAAGGATTTACCGGCGGCGTTTGACTGTTTATTTCATCGATTTCCTCTGGGCATAAGCGTTTCGACAAACCACCATCGTCAATAAACCAAACATGTCGGTGTTGTAAGAAAGCGACTTTAAAAACAACGCAATTACTATATGGACTTGTGGGAGCGATCCAGCTAATATCCACACGGGATTTTACATTTGCATTGGTACTCTCGACCATATTTTCGCACAAAGCGTTGAATTTCGTTTCAGCTGTGTCAATTATTGCGAAATGACCCAACATATTGCGGTCCGGCAAAGTTAAGGCGTATGAATCAGGTTCCACCACCAAAGTAAAACTTATAAATTTCAATCCGTTGGTAGAAGACAATGAAACTTGGCATAAAGTGATCAATCGAAAAGATGAAACATTTCATAGGCAGTTAGAGAATCAAGCACTTACGATTGTAACGTTGTCCGTTTATGTAATGCGAAGGATTGCCATCGATTAACATATGAAAGTTAGCATCGACAGGCGATGGATCTCCGTTGGCTCCCTGAGGTTTACGATTGCAGGCGTTTAAACAAATCCTGGCTAATTCCGAAAATATCAAAATGTATAGCAACAAAAATTTTAAATCCATTACTGATCACTTTAAAAGCAAACAACAACTGAATTAAAAATAAATCTAATAAGCAAGTGGCCGCCCGTTCGCTCTACTATACTGAAAGCAAATAGTTCAACGCTCTCATCTCTTGATCTCGTCACCTCAATTAATTAAGTTACAAAACTAACTACCGTCTAGAGTTTAGAGGTTGATTGCATTGTAACAGCGAGAAAAAAGAGAATGATAGACAAAAAAAAAAAAAAAAAAAAAAAAAAAAAAAAAGCAAAAGATTTTCATAAGTAAGGCACGCGTCTTGACTGATAAGCCAGCATTTCTCAACCATTAAGATGACAACGTAAGAAAAGATATTTGACAGAACCACAAACACTCCTCTTCCGCCATCTGTATCCCTCTGATCCCTTCAGCCGTACTATAGAGAATATATATATAAAATATTTTTTTAATACTTTTTTTATTGTTTTGTGTTGTACAAACTAATTAGATATGGTAGACGCTCTACCATTTATCACCGTCGTCGTTGTCATTCAATTGACAAGGGAGCATTTTACATTTTTCCATTCGTACGCGGTCTTTGCATTTATAACTAAGATTGGTGTTGACGAGAGTGCGTGTTTTCTGGCGATACGAATTATCTCCACAAGTGGCCGTGCACGGAGTCCAAGCCGACCATTCAGAGTAGCGACATTCGTTTTTCTCGGCCTCGGCTTTGTCTTGCTGCTGTTGATGATGGTAATGATGACCAGTACGACGTCTTTCGTTATAGCTGCCGTAGCTTATATCACCGACCGAATATATATCATCACATCGTTGATAGCATTTTTCTAGACGTACCAAATGTTTGGGACATGGTTTACCGCCATATTTAGGCGATCGTAGAACCCGACGAGTTTTAATCTGTATACCCTCACCGCAAGTAGCATTACAGGAATGCCCTACCCAATCAGAGACTAGGCAGTTGGTCGGTTTCATGTTGAGACCATCGCCTTGTAACTCTGATTTTTGACGGGGCAAATGACATGTTTCTTCACAAGCTTCTTTCGACGTGAATTTATTGCGATTTTTATCGCATTTATCGGCCCAAAAAATCGCGCATTGATCACTCATGTGATCATAAAACCAATAGTTGGCTACTTCACTGTCGCGACAAGGACTAACTTGAAGGTCTTCATAGCAGAAAGGCTTGACAATCGCATCGCAACTTGATAGTGTACAATTTACTACTTCTTTCCGCTTAATATGCCGGCAGGAATCCAATTTAGGATCGTAATCGGGACGTCGTACTCCGTAGACCTCGTCCTTTTTCCATACTTTACGTTCTCGCTGACGTGTGCCTGTACGACCACAAGGGCCCAAACATGGTGAAAAATCGGACCAGTGTGACACACCGCATTCGGGTGGTATATAATCATCTAGTTGGTGACTGTAACTTTCGAAATTATTATAACGATAAATATCATCTAAGTTGCCATATAAAGCTCTAGTGTTCTGGTTATCCGTCTCCGAATCGCCGTTACCATCACCGCCAGGATTTTCGATGTCACCGCCACAATCAATGCCTTGGCAACGCTTCGTTTCTTGCAAACGAATTCGAGTTACTTTCTGACATTTTTTTTTTGCTCGGGGATTTAGGTATTGGCGCGATCTCATCATAGTCCCAGCCCCACATGTAGCGGAACATGATGACCAATCGGTCCAATTGGAAATGGCACATTCCGGATTTTTTGGACCTGACCCAGGATAGCTTAATCCTTCCGAATCAATTTCACTTGGCTCAGATTCGTCAAACGAATCACATTTACGACCTACGCAATCCTGTTCTTCACGCAGATTTGTGCGACATTTGAACTTGCGTGCAATTAACGGATCTTTAAATTCACGAGTGCGATATTGTTTACCCGGACCACATTTAGCACTGCACGCATCCCAGCGTGTCCAGGGATTAGTAGCACATTCGGGAGCATCATTTTCATCTAATTGGGTTAAACATGAATAAACAAAGTTAAGCGATTGGCACACAAAACACTGGAACTTAGTTTACTTTCTGTGTTATCGCAAGTTTTCTCGTACAGACGTCTTCGATTGATATACAAGGTGGCTAAGGGTTTCATCGGAGCTGCATCAGGATCATAAAATGGTGATCGTGGATCATTGGGAAAATTTGACTTAATTCGTCTAACCACGTCTGGAGGCACCTGCGGTTGATCGGCGGACTGTATACGCAAAAATATGAAACGAGTTTACACAGTTTCATGTAGTAGTACGGACTTATGAGTACACTAACCATATAAGAAGGACCACTATCGGTGCCCGCATCCCAAGGATATAGGTTATGCATTTTACTTTCGATCCAAGAACAATTGGGCAAACAAAGCTCCAAACCTGACACGCCGACAATCCAATCCGGTGAAGGATCTATCATGGATACCAAAGATATCAAATGATGCTGCGAGTCTACACGAAATACAGCAAATGTTTTCCCCGTAACGTTAGGATAAGATATACCGCGTGCTTTAATAATCGTACGTATCTGATCACTCTGGAGTTAAAAGTTCCGATGCAAGATGTTAAGGATCCAAGATGTCGATAATATCATATTCACCTGTTCCTTTAATTCACTTTCCAGCGTCCGGGTAGAACCGTGCTCAGCTACCTCGCGTAGACCTTCACTTGCCAAACCCCCATATTGCCAAAATCGATAATCGATAGTATGAGATGCCCCGATTATGTCACTGAAACGTGTGCGCCAACTATTGGCAGGAAAGTCTTTAGGATGAGTATGACGTGACCATTTACCCTCAAACGTCAATTCGTATTTGGCCTCATCGCAGGCACAACAAGGATCTACAATACTTGGCTGCGTATCAACATCATCAATTTCTTCTTCACATACCCGTTTAGTAAGGAAACCATCATCCATAAACCAAACGTCCCGATGCTGTACTACAGTGGCACGCAGCATAACACAACCCATTCCAGCGGCGATAGGCGCGACCCAAACAGCATCTATACGACTTTTAACATTTGTGTTAGTATTCTCTATTAAATTTGCGCAACGGGGGCTGTAACGAGTTTCAGCTAAATCAATGATTTCAAATGTTCCTACCGCATCCAAGTTGACGGTATCACCATTTTCATTTTCCAAGCCCAACATGAAGCTAATGAATGTTTGATCATTATAAGCGATAATGGAGACTGAAACGCAAAGGAGGAGTTAACGTGGAAGGCTTTTGGAAATAATACGATTGTATCTACCATTGTATTTTTGACCGGGTATATAACTATCGGGATTACCGGTTATAGTAATTACGTAATTGTCATCAACTGGTGATTTGGCGGCTGTAGTCCCCAGAGGTATACGACTACAAGCCGTTATTAAGTTGAGCTTAATAACGCTTAGAAGGAGAAGTAATGACAATTTATTCATTTGCTTGACGTTATGATAGATGAAATCTGTAATAGTAACAAGTGCAAAAAGTATATTCGGTCGTGACCGAATCTTTTATATCCATCCCCGTTCTCCTAAATAAGACAAAAAAAGTAAAAGTATTAAGTTTTCATGCGGTATAATGTGTGGCGGAGGGGGCGAGGCGGTTTCTTTTTATTTTTTGAGATGAAGGCTCCTGTCGCGTAGGGGCGTGGGCGTTACAGGCGTGTTCTTCGGAAAGCTCCCCAAATGCTTTTGCAAATTTGTAGGCGATATCTTCATTTTTGTGAGAGAGAGAGGGCTTACCACGAATATTATATAGTTGGATAGACGGGCAGATGGGCGGATGATCAAACGGATATTCTTCGATGAGTTCCAAATTTGAAATTATCTGCTGTAGTTTATGAATAGTGAGGGAAAAACAAATTTCTTATTACTTTCGAAAAACAAAGATGTTCTCAGATTACGTGGTGCTGTAGGCGTGTCTTCCCACCGAAGAACTTTCAATGTTTCTGTCGAACTTGAAGTCGATAGCTGCATTTTTGCGGTTAAGAGAATGTTTACAACAGACATTACACAGACGGATAGGTGGAACGACGGACGCACATGCTTAAATCAATTTAGAATTTGATGCTAATTAAGAAGATATATACTTTAAGGGCTCTCTGATGCTTTCTTCTGGCCGTTGCAAGCGTTTCGACACAATGAATATACCCCCCATCCTTTGTGGATCGGGAATAAAAATTGATGGCTCAAGAAGAAGGGAATAGAAATTCAAGGAAACGAGTATTTAATTAATCTCATAAATAAACACTATTAACTTAACTAAATATTTCCTATATTTAGTGTTTTTTTTGTTTTTGTAAATTAATTTTAATAAAACTCGCTTCATATCGAATGTCAATGTTAAAGTAAGACGATAATAAAAATATTTATAAGGTTTTATACAAAAAAAAAAATTAATTTATTAACAAAAAAAAAAAGAAAAAAAAAATTATTTTGAACACTATCCACTGCATCATGATCGGCGCATATTAGTTAGTAGTAAACAAAGTGTGAAAGTGTTTTCTTTCACTTTATTAATTAAAACATTTCGAAATCACTGTGTGTGTGTGGGTGTGTGCTTATGTATTATTGTTGCTTTTGTCATTGCAATGCATTGCGATTGAAAAATTCGCGTCACAATTGAAATTAATTGAAAGGTTTACTGCACCGACCATTCGGTCATTATTATCAAACACGATTTAAGGGCTGTCGTAGTAAATTTTTAACAAAACACTTTAAAGGTTTCTTTATACAATTAATTAATATATAAATTCAATTTTAATTCAATTTCAAATTTCATTTAATTATCTCTGGCTTTCTTTGCCTTTTCTGTTTTATTTATTTATTTATTTTTTTTCTTGTTTAATTCGCTTAATTATTTCCTTTGGCGTATTTGAAAATGAAATTTTGTCTTTGTAATTTACTCTTCATTGACAATATTTGCATTATTCTATGCGGGCGAAATAAAACAAAAAAGAAAAAAAAAATTTTATGAAAATATTATTTTTTACCGTTAAACGTTTCTATGTGTTGCAAGTTCCAAGCTAATCGGCAAACTGTGCAAACTGTTCACAAAGCAAAGCAAGCGTTCGCTTTCCATTCTCAATTAAGAGAATAAATTATTCAATAACATGCTTGTATATGTGAGATGTTTATCATGCTATTCGACACATATACATTCATAGACACTATACCCGGTTCCGGCATCAGTGCATGTATAAGTAATTCACATGTGCTCACATACATGTTGCGATGTGTTTTTGCTTTTATTTTTCCCATTCTGAGATCTTTTATGCATGCATTCTTAATAACTACGGGCAAACACTAAAGTGTAAGGCATTTCCCTTTAGATATATTAACTTTATCTTAGGCATTGTAACATCCAGAATGTTTTTCTCGTAGAGACTCTGATGTGAATATTCACATGACATGTTCGAATAAGTCCGCAACGTTGATATAGTAAGTAAGCAAGTAGCGACGTCCTTGTGAAT